TTATCTTTAACATATTTTTAAGGGGCAGTTTTCGTGGTGGGTTTGTCCCCCAGGCATGCTTACAGAACATGTGATTCATTTGGAAGGCGAATCTGGTGCATAACTAGCCTCCTCGTGATCTGGTGGCCAGCGCTCATGCCTGTAGGTGTATTTTCCCACTTTCGTATGATTTTTGAAGGGTTCTCTTTTCCTCACCGGAAACACTCATTAGGGATACCTCTAGGGAGTAGGTATCTTGCCCCTACCCAGTTCTGCCGGGACTCCTGCCGAGAGCTACACCATCTTGAAGAAAGCAGCTGACTACTGAGTTTACGTGTGACAGGTTTAAGTCTGTGTGTTCACACACATGCATCTCTCTAAGGTCAACTCAGTATTATTACAGGAGACCCTGTCTTGTAAATGTTTATACATTTTTGCATGTAGGGAAGTGAGAAATATAAATTTTTGTATATGGGAAAGAGAAATGTTGAGAAATTTAATGGCATCTCTTTTAAGGCATTTTTTTTTTTTGAGAGAGAGAGATTTTTGCTATAGGGTGCATGCACTTGCTGGAGAGACAAAGAGATAAAAAGAGACAGAAAGTGAGAAATCATCCCCCAGGAGGGATAGCCACACCACAATCCCTTCCCCTCTGTTCTCAAGATCTTGGGCACTCACGCACACATGCCCACATGCTCAACATGAGTTTTAACTTGCCAGGGTCGGGACTTGAACTACAGTCAGCTATGTGGGAGTCCAGTGACATAACTATTACACCATCTGCTGGTCCTCCTCAAGGTGTTTTAGACACTGGTAGAGGATGAAATAAACTTGGTTAAATATGTAGTTGAATATTTAACAGAATTAAAATCAGACATTAATGCATTAGAGTGAATTACTATGTACTGTGGAAGTAGTTATTTCAACTGAAACAAGCATCTACATATATCTTAATGAAATTGTGGAAATAGACATTCTTTTTCATTGAAATTTCTACCTTATGAACTGCTTTACAATAAGTCAACTTGCAGTCTTTTCATTAATACTCCTTCTAAAATGTGTGCACCCACATTCCTGCCTAAATAAGTATAATATATTGAACAATTAGATGTTGGTTATTCAAGAAATTTGTCCTAAATGTATTTTCTTAAAATAATTATTCATTCAATTGTATTTGTTATTATTATTTTAATTTGCTCTAGGGCACATCCACTCATGGCTGGCCGTGTGAGAGTCCAGCACTCCACCCACCACGCCACCTGCTGGCCCTCTAAATGTATTGTTTTGATTATTTTAACATAGCT